TTACTGGCAGTGTTACCCAAATTTCAAATGACTGTGGATGCACCAGAAAATATCTTAGTAGTGGACTCTGAATTCAAAGTGAATGTCTGTGCCTTGTAAGTTGAAACTGTACATAATACAATAATGCATTCACAGAAAGATATTAGAATGGGATAGATGGCTAAAAAGCAGTAAAATATAAATGTATGAAGGTAAGGGAAAAACACGGTATGAAATTATTTTGCTGATTTTATGAATTCTTCCATGCATCTATAATTATTTTAATGCATGTTATGACATGTGGTTTTATGTAATGTTTTAAGACAACTGACTACTATCTTTTTTACATCATAATATATTATTTTGCACCAGCCAATAGAGTAGCCACTGACCATATGTGGTTATTTAAGTTTTAATTAAAATTAAATATTCAGTTGTGCTAGCCACATTTCAAGCTGTCACATGTGACTAGTGGCCACTGAATTGGAGAGCATAGACATAAAACATAGAACGTTCCATCTCCCAGAAATTTCCACTGGACAATATCTTCTGTTTATGATGATTTCTCAATTCAATCTTTATGTATTACGTGATTATAAAAGAAGACTGAAACTCATGACATATCATGGAGAAAACTGCTATAAGAGTTACAAGTGGCTTTAGGGTAGTGGCGGGGCACAGTATGGAGGATACTAAGGGCAGACAGGGACTTGGGGCAAATATTGAGGATTAATGTGTGGCAGGAGTAGCAGTGAAGCAGGTCAAGTTGTTTTCCCCTCTTCTTGTCACTAAGTTAAGCAACATTCACAGAGTTTATATAACCAGCAAAGACAGCCAGGGTGCAAACATAAAACTTTGTCTCCTCAGACCTGATGTGAGGATTCATTCTTTCCCTGACTCATGTGTACTACTTTTCCGTTTAATTTTGCATAATTAAAAATGAAAAGTGACATGGTAATTTCTAGTTGTTAGGAGAGCTTCATTGCAGTAATCTAAAATTCCATGCCAAACTTTAAGGTGAAAGCTTTACCTGTCCTCCTTCCTGTGTCTACTTTAGGCTGAAAGTCTGTAAGAGTCAAGAAACATGGCTAACTTTTTGATGTCACTACCTTGTGCTTCACCTCCAGAGTTGGAGTGGGAGAATACAGAAAAGGCAGAGACTGAAATGTCTCATTGTAGTTGGATCGTAGAGGCAGGGAATTGCCAGCATTGCTGGAAAATCCCCTGAGTAACAGAAATCCCCAAAGCCCAGATGTCTAGGTACTTCCCTATCACAGTGGCTGTGTGTTGGCTCCTGTGTCATTTTTACTGGAGAAGTATTGCATAATTGAAATAAAGCACTCTAGGACAAGCCAGCTGGGAATCCCAAAACATAAGCATGAATCACTAAATGGTTGAAGAGTCTAAATACTTGAAATCAAGGTATTAAACAAATTTTTTTAAAAAAGCAATATATACCTGAGAAAACTGCTGAACATCAATCCGAAAAAAATTTAGAAATAAGTAAAATTTATATACTCAGATATGGGTCAATAGTGTAACTTTAAAAATAATTAAAGACCTTGGAGTTAAGCATATTATTAATTTAAAAATATGTGTGTAGAAAGGCTGACTAGAAGGATGGATGATGCTGAAGAGAGAATTAGTAATTTGGAAGATGAAATTGAGAAATTGTCATAAAATGCAGCCCAGAGGAATCTACTGTCATTCCTTACAAGCAATTTTGTTCTTTGCTCTTTCTACCTATTTAAATTTTTTAACAATGAACAAATATTTGTGTACTTCCATGTAATTAAAAATAAATATAATTGGAGCCCACTGCGGAGCTGCAAAGCTGCTGTAGCCAAACTACCTCTCTAGATTCCTCCTCTCGGGGCACAGCATCTCTGAAAGAAAGGAAGCAGCCTCAGTCAGGGGCTTATAGATAAAACTCCCATGTACCTGGGGGAAGAAGCAGCTGCGGGAGCAGCTTCAGCAGACTTAAATGTTCCTGCCTGCTGGCTCTGAAGAGAGCAGCGGATCTCCCAGCACAGTGCTCAAGTTCTGCTAAGGGACAGACTGCCTCCTCAAGTGCATCAGGGACCCATGCCACCTCACAGGAAGACACCTCCCAGCAGGGGTCGACAGACACCTCATACAGGAGAACTCTGGCTGGCATCTGGTGGGTGCCCCTCTGGGACAAAGCTTCCAGAGAAAGGAGCAGGCAGCAATTTTTACTGTTCTGCAGCCTCTGCTGGTGATACCCAGGCAAACAGGGTCTGGTGTGGACCCCCAGCAAACTCCAGCAGACCTGCAGAAGAGGGGCCTGACTGTAAGAAGGAAAACCAACAAACAGAAAGCAGTAACATCAGCATCAACATCAACAAAAAGGACAACCACACAAAAATTCCATCTGACGGTCACCAACAGCAAAGACCAAAGGTGGATAAATCCACAAAGATAGCCAGGAGTGGTGGCTCATGTCTGTAATCCCAGCACTTTGGGAGACTGAGGCAGGTGGATAACCTGAGGTCAGGAGTTTGAGACCAGCCTGACAAACATGGAGAAACCCTGTTACTACTAAAAATACAAAATTATCTGGGTGTGGTGGCACACACATGTAATCCCAGCTACTCGGGAAGCTGAGACAGGAGAATTGCTTGAATCTGGGAGGCGGAGGTTGCAGTGAGCCGAGATTGCCATTGTACTCCAGCCTGGGCAACAAGAGCAAAACTGTGTGAAAGAAGAAAGAGAGAGAGATAGAGAGGAAGGGAAGGAAGGAAGGAAATCCATGAAAATGAGGAAAAACCAGCACAAAAAGGCTGAAAATTCCATAAAGTAGAATGCCTCTTCTCTTCTAAAGAGGAGAGGGGAAAAAGCAAGATTTTCTTATTTTTTGGACATCTCTCCAAACCTCAAAATCAAAAGGCAGCTCACATTGGAAGACTGTCTATTTAAATTGTCACAAAATTATTAATTTCATGTAGACAGCTTCAAGAGGATAGAAACTCCTTGTAACAGTCAGGCCCCTCTTCTGCAGGTCTGCTGGAGTTTGCTGGGTGTCCACTCCAAACCCTGTTTGCCTAGGTATCACAACTCCTCGCCAGCAAGGGAACAAAACTGGACAGAGAATGAGTTTGACGAACTGACAGAAGTAGGCTTCAGAAGGTGGGTAATAACAAACTCCTTTGAGCTAAAGGAGTAGGTTCTAACCCAATGCAGGGAAGATAAGAACCTTGATAAAAGGTTAGAAGAATTGCTAACTGGAATAACCAGTTTAGAAAACAGAAATGACCTATTGGAGCTGAAAAACACAGCATGAAAACTTCGTGAAGCATACACAAGTATCAATAGCCAAATTGATCAAATAGAAGAAAGGATATCAGAGGTTGAAGATCAACTTAATGAAATAAAGCTTGAAGACAAGATTAGAGAAAAAAGAATGAAAAGGAATGAGCAAAGCCTCCAAGAAATATGGGACTATGTGAAAAGACCAAACCTACGTTTGATTGGTGTACCTGAAAGTGATGGGGAGAGTGGAACCAAGTTGGAAAACAGACTTCAGGATATTATCCAGGAGAACTTCACCAACATAGCAGGACAGGCCAACATTCAAATTTAGGAAATGCAGAGAACACCACACAGATACTCCTTGAGAAGAGCAACTCCAAGACACATAATCGTCAGATTCACCAAGGTTGAAATGAAGGAAAAAATGTTAAGGGCAGCCAGAGAGAAAGGTCCGGTTAACCCCAAAGGGAAGCTCATCAAACTAACAGTGGATCTCTCTGCAGAAACCCTGCAAGCCAGAAGAGAGTGGGGGCCAATATTTAACATTCTTAAAGGAAAGAATTTTTAACCCAGAAATTCATATCCAGCCAAACTGAGCTTCATAAGTGAAGGAGAAATGAAATCCTTTACAGACAAGCAAATGCTGAGGGATTTTGTTACCACCAGGCCTGCCTTACAAGAGCTCCTGAAAGAAGCACTAAACATGGAAAGGAACAACTGGTACCGGCCACTGCAAAAACAAACCAAAATGTAAAGACCATCAACACTATGAAGAAACTGCATCAACTAATGGGCAAAATAACCAGCTGGCATCAATCATAATGACAGGATCAAATTCACACATAACAATATTAACCTTTAATGTAAATGGGCTAAGTGACCCCAATTAAAAGACACAGACTGGCAAATTGGATGATGAGTCAAGACCTATCTGAGTGCTGTATTCAGGTGACCCATCTGATGTGCAAAGACACCCATAGTCTCAAAATAAAGGGAAGGAGGAAGATTTACCAAGCAAATGGAAAGATAAAAAAAAAGCAGGGTTTGCAACCCTAGTCTCTGATAAAACAGACTTTAAACCAACAAAGATCAAAAAAGACAAAGAAGGGCATTATATAATGGTAACAAGATCAATACAACAAGAAGAGCTAACTATCCTGAATATATATGCACCCAATACAGGAGCATCCAGATTCATAAAGCAAGTTCTTAAAGACCTACAAAGAGACTTAGACTCCCACACAATAATAGTGTGAGACTTTGACACCCCACTGTCAATATTAGACAGATTAACAAGACAGAAAATTAACAAGGATATTGAGGACTTGAAATCATCTCTGGACCAAGTGAGCCTAATAGACATCTACAGAACTCTCCAGCCCAAATCAACAGAATATACATTCTCGTCAGCACCACATCACACTTATTCTAAAATTGGCCACATAATTGGAAGTAAAGCACTCCTTAGCAAATGCAAAAGAATGGAAATCATAACAAACAGTCTGTCAGACCACACTGCAATCAAATTGGAACTCAGGATTAAGAATCTCACTCAAAACCACACAACTGCATGGAAACTGAACAACCTGCTCCTGAATGACTACTGGGTACCCAACGAAATTAAGACAGAAATAAAGAAGTTCTTTGAAACCATTGAGAACAAAGACACAATGTACCAGAATCTCTGGAACACAGCTAAAGGAGTGTTTAGAGGAAAATTTATTGCACTAAATTCCCACAGGCAAAAGTGGGAAAGATCTAAAATCAACACCCTAACATATAATTAAAAGAACTAGAGAAGCAAGAGCAAACACATTCAAAAACTAGCAGAAGACGAGAAATAACTAAGA